CCCTGGCCAGCACCGGTGAGACCCCAGCGGGCTGAAGCGGCCCAGGAGCTACCCCGGGGCCCCGAGATTCGGTCAGCTCTGTCTGTGCGGATCTGGTCCCCGGTCTTTGGCAGTGAGCTGGGCTGTTGGGGGCACTGGTCCATGTGTGTGACTCTGGGAGCCTTGGGTCCTCTCCTTCTCAGTGTCTCCTGGGAGGGAATCCAGAACGCTTTCATACATGGAAGGGAGATTGGAAGACATTTCTCACCTTCTGCTGTATGTTAGCCTAAAAAGTGTGAAATGGCCTCTAAACTTTGGAGATCTCTTTGCCCTGTTGGGGAACAGACATCTTCATTTGTCAGGTTTTCCCTGGGTGACCGAGTAGCATTGGTACAGAGCCTAACTAACCATTTCCTAGGTGCCTTAAGCTTTCCGCCCATCCGGTGCCTCCACACCCTCTTTATACCCCAGATAGTCGTGGCATACATTGTTTCAATTCCTAGAGCTCTGGACAGGCTGCTTTTGATTTTGGCGGGTTCATCAAATACGTTCACTTGGCCTTTTCCTCCCAGCACATCCTCAGCCTCTTACAAAGTAAGAGTAAATGCTTGGCAGAATCATTTAAGTAATTTTATTCCACCATGTGGGCCCCATTTCTCAGAAGTGAATAAAATGGCCTTTTCGAGAAGGATTGGTCGAATCAGATACTCACTGCCTTTCCCTTCCTAGGCTTTTGAAACATGAACCCCTCCCTCGTCCTGGCTGCCTTTTGCTTGGGAATGGCTTCAGCTGCTCCCACACTTGATGACGGCTTAGATGCCCAGTGGAACCGGTGGAAGGCGAAACACAGGAAATCATATGGAACGGTTGGTAACATCTGGGACTCTCCAGAGGCTCCCCAGAGGGGTGCTCCTTGCTGTTCGAAGATACAGCCCGAGATTATGGCCTTCTAGAGGCCAGCTCCTATCAACACCCTAAAGCAATAACCAGGTGGCACCAATGATGCGTACCATGTGGGCACTCATCCCTGTTGTGTCTCGGTTTGGAGAATGACTCCTAGAGGTATCAGCCTCCCCTGACCATGATGTCTCTTCTATGACTGCCTGCAATCCACCTGGTGAGCCTGGGTTGGGTTGTCAGCAGAAATAAAGACCATCGGCGACGTGTTTGCCTCCAGAATGAAGAAGGATGGCGGAGAGCAGTGTGGGAGAAGAACGTGAAACGGATCGAACAGCACAATCGGGAATACAGGGAAGGGAAGCATGGCTTCACGATGGCCGTGAACGCCTTTGGGGACATGGTGAGTGTGGCGTGGACGGCTGGACTCTGCTTTGTCTCATCAGCTCTTTGCCAAAATAATCTCTTGCTTTCCGATTTTGTATTTCCTTTTCCTCGAAGACCAATGACGAATACAACCAGAGGATGAAAGGCTCTCGATACCAGAAGCATGAGAAGGGGAAAGTGTTCCAGGAACCTCCCTTTTCTTATGTCCCCCCATCTTTCGATTGGAGAAAGGAAGGCTTCGTGACTCCTGTGAAGGATCAGGTAAGACAGTGTCAGATTCAGCCCTCCCATCTCCATAGGAAAGCCAAGAAGCAATGGACACCTGTGTCTGGGGAGACTGTGACATGCAGTTCACTGTTCTTTAAAGCGAATTCAGACATGTGAGCTGTTGTCAAGGTCTTGCTATTTGTTTTGTGGATGAAAACGTTTTTATTCTCTTTTCAGTATGAGTGTGATTCTGGTTGGGCTTTTAGTGCGACCGGTGCTCTTGAAGGACAGATGTTCTGGAAAACTGGCAAACTTGTTGCACTGAGTGAGCAGAACCTGGTGGACTGTTCTCGGACTCAAGGAAATGCGGGTTGTAAAGGTGGCAGGGCGGATTATGCCTTCCAGTATGTAAAGAAGAATGGAGGCCTGGACTCTGAGGCATCCTATCCGTACACAGGAAAGGTAAGCGGAGCTCCTTGTGCTGTCATTCCAACCCTGCTTTTGGAACGTGGATCACGTTCAGCGATAACAAACACCTTTGCAGAATTCACATTTTACATGGTAGAATTGACATCTGCAAACTGTCGGTTCTGTCTTTATAAGTTACTAGACTTTGCACCGTTCTCTGATTAAGTAGTTAACATACAGCTATTCTTCTGTGTAACGTGGAAAATGTGGAAGTCTTTCTACATATCTTACACATTTCTCTATTGGAAAACTGTCTTATGAATAGGTAAGACCTAGGCAGTCTCATTGAAAAGATTTGAGGGGGAGGGAGATGGGATTAACAGTAGCAAATGTCTGTCTGGGGACGCGGAAACACCTCTTATCAACAGGGTGCCTGAATGAAACGTAATTGTATACCTAACCCTTAACTGTACCCCACAAAACCATAATAAAAAAATATTAATAAAAAAAAAAAAAAGATTTGAGCCGATTTTCAGTTTCAAATCAACTTAATAGCATTCCACTTCCTGGGATGTTTTACAGTAGCATCGACTTGAAAATCCTAAGCTAGACATTGGTGAGTGTTGCTTTGGGTCTACAACTCATGTTCCCTAGGAGGTAGATGGTAGTATAAAGTTTCTTCTTCTTAAACTTCACAAGGAAGCAGACTGTAAGTACAAGCCTGAGTATTCTGCTGGTAATGACACTGGCTTCATAGACATCCCTGTGTGCGAAAAGTCTCTGGTGACAGCTGTGGCCATTGTGGGACCTATGTCTGTTGCGATTGATGCTAGTCATGAGTCGTTCCAGTTCTACGAAGAAGGTACGCACTTTTTTCTTTGTGGAAATTGATTCAGAAAAAGACCAAACTACCAGGGCATGCCAGCATGATGGTTTATGGAATGTAACATGGATTTCATGTAGTTGTTCCTTCTGTGCATGCAGTATCTGTACTGGATGTACTTGATGTTTCTGTGTGACATCGTTATCACAGCTCTATGAAGATAAATACTTCATATCTTTTTTATAAATAGACATTTCACCTAGTGTGTAGCTTAATTTACTCAAGTATTCTCTATTTGTTGGACCTTTATGATTTTCCCAAAATTTTTACTTCTGGAATTCAATCTGAAAACAGCCTCTTGAGTCAAGGATTTTGGGTTCTGTGCTGTTTTCCTTAGACATAATAGTATGGAATTAGAGGTTTCCAAAGAGGAATTTTTTTCGCCTTCAGGCAAGGTTGTTGTTGTTGTTGTTTTGAGTCAGAGTCTCACTCTGTCACCCAGGCTGGAGTGCTGGGGCGGCATGCTCACGGCCACCACAGCCTCAGCCTTCTGGGCTCAGGCAGTCCTTCCACCTCAGCCTCCAAGTTGCTGGAACTACAGACAGGCAAGGTTTTATATAAGAATGATGCTCACTGTATTTCTGCTGGCTTGAAATGAGAGCCAAAGTCCCTCACCTTGATAACAATACACCTTATTGTTAAGTTCTATCTAGAAAGTGTGTCATTTCCTGAATGTAGAGATGCTTCCCTTACAGGGTGGGTTACTGTCAGGTGTCCCCAGAGTTTATCACCCCAATATGCCTTTCATTGTCCTAGGTGTTTATTATGAGCCAGACTGCAGCTCGGAAAATTTGAATCACGCTCTTCTGCTGGTTGGCTATGGCTATGAAGGAGCAAAACCAGATGAAAACAAATATTGGATTGCAAAAAACAGGTATAAATGACCACAAATGCTTATATTTGAAATTCAAAAGGGAATTCTTGTTTGTAGTCATTATTTAGATATATTTCCACAAACCCCCTTAAGCACACTTCTGAAATCCAGAAGTCTTTTTTCCCACTTAGATTGAACATAGAATGTTAATGTTTGATCGCATTAAAGATACTCTCAAAAGCATGCTGGGGGTTACCCGTGGAGTTTGTGTGTAGAATTTTAAAATTCTGAATTTTTTTTTTTTGAACTGCCGTCTTACTCTGTCACTCAGGCTAGAGGGCAGTGGCATGCTCATGGCTGCCACAGCCTTGACCTGCTGGGTTCAGGTGATCTTTCCACCTCAGCCTTCCAAGTACCTGAAACTACAGGCATGCGCCACCATGCCTGGCTAATTTTTTTATTTATTGTAGAGATGAGGTCTTGCCAAATTGCCCAGGCTGGTCTCGAACCCGTGGGCTCAGACAAATCTCTCACCTTGACCTCTCAAAGTGCTGGGATTATAGGCGTGAGCCACCGTGCCCGGCCTCTGAAATATTTCTGGCTAGAAAGACATCCTGTCCTTTTTCTGTCTCTGATTGTGCAGTTCTGTGAAAGCTCACAGTTTTGGGTCTGGATAAAAGTGATGTGCAGGTTTGGCCTCAAGAATTTATAAAGAAAGAGCAAGAACATCTGCCTCCCCTGATCCCTTCTGTTCAGTCTGTGGCCTCAGTTACACTGTTTATGTTGGGTGTTTCTGTTAATAAGCAATGTTTTTTATTCTCTCTATGAAATGAAATCCCTGCTATTCTTTCAGCTGGGGTACAGACTGGGGCAAGTATGGCTACATAAAGATGGCCAGAGACCGGGAGAACAACTGTGGAATTGCCTCAGCAGCCAGCTACCCCATCTTGTGAGCTGACGGAGTGGGCTGAGGAAGAACTTGACTGGGGATGGCCGTTCCAGGGGAGGAATTTATCTGAAATCGCACCAGCCTCCGCCGTGTGGTGTACATGCGTAAATCACTGAAAATTCACGTTGTGATTTAAAGTCTGTGACATTCTCACACTGGTCAATGTTATCCCTATTTCAATGACGACTAAAAACTGCTTTGTATTATTGATTCGCTTACTTTGGATTTTGGTTTTTAAAGGATGTGCAATGTTGTACCCGTTTCCTTAAACTGAATTTCAGATATCCTGGTGGGACTACTTTTGTTTTGGACGCACTGACTTTTTTGCGCGTCAGGCATGTCACTGGGCTCTAGGAGGTAACTGCTTGCCCGCGGTTCACTAGGGGCCAGAGCGGGTGGCTTCGGCTCCTCTGGTCATAAATATGCATCAAATGAAGAAAGGTCACCAGGCATACATATGATGTTGATACTGCAACTGGGTCTTAGAGAGCGCCTTCATTGCACTTGAGGTGTCTATACCCCAGTGAAGTTACAGGAGAAATGTCTCAGAGCCAGTTTCTGGAACATCTTTCCCGACTGCTGGGGGATACTCTGTGAGCAATTTGTGGTCGTGATGGGAAAAACCCTAGTGCATTCCCAAGGCTGTTTGTCTTTGGCTCCTTGAGGGTTTAGGGATAGACTCCAAGGTTCGAGGCTGGGCTACAAAAATGGTTTTTGTGGTCCCAGAAGGTGGAAGCCAGGTCAGAGGACCAAAAATGACAGTTGGTGGCTTTGTTTAGACCAAGCTGCCTACTCCCAGAATGAATTTAAAAAATGTTTTAAAACCTTCCTAATTGTACTGGCTAAAAAACCTATAGTGTCTTCAATTATATGCTTTCTAATGTCTCCTGTTCCCATTGGTGAAAATATCAAGAATGGGTGGAAGTAATGAGTGCATAGACTCCATATCCCTGGAGGAAGAAAACCAGGTGGACAGTGGAGTCTCAGCCCACAAAGCCAAGTTCATCCAGGTTGGACCACGTGCCATGCTGGACTCCATATGTCCTTCCCTTATAGTGACTGATATTTGAAACTGGACCTAAAATGACAAATGTGTCTACTGAGTGAAATTCTTTGGGCTTTATAATAAATGAACCCAGTGTGGTAGCAGGAAGATTTGGGAGACTCCCAAATGAAATCCCTCGTGCAAGTTGAGACCTCGATTTTTTTCTAGGTCAGAGTCTCTCTCTGTCTCCCAGGCTGGAATGCAGTGGCACACAGGTGGTCACCACACCCTTGCCCTGCTGGGTTCAGGTGATCCTTCCACCTCAACCTTCCAAGAAGCTGGAACTACAGGCGTGTGCCACCCTGCCCAGCTAATTTTTCTTGATTTATTGGCGAGACGAGGTCTCGCCAAGCTGCCCAGACTGATCTCGAACCCCTGGGCTCAGACAATCCTCTTGCCTCAGCCAGTCAATAAAGGAGGATGAAGAGGTGGATATCTTAGCAGAGATCAGTGTGTCAGCTCCCCTGAGATCATTAGAGAACCAGCAGAAAAGACTGGGTCCAGGTGTTAGGGAATGAAGCTGGCAGAGAGGTGGGTTTGAGGAGAAGGGAACCACTGGAGAGTGTAGTTAACAGACTCTTAGGTTGCATGTTCAGCTCGGGTTGTTGACCAGAGCCCCTGATCAGCCTCTCTGAGGCTTGGGTTTCCCACCACAGCAAAACCGGGAAATTTCTCTGTATATGTATTTTAACTGATGAACTGTAAACACTGAATTTCACGAATGTACACGATCATCTCTAGTTGTAACTAAGTTAACCGGGAAAAGTATTACCAAGAGACGCAGCGTCTTTTCTCCGGTAGGACTTGAAAAAATTTTCATAATTCACATGTTTAAAGGGTTTTTTTTTTCCTCACCTGATGCTTTCAGCAAGTGTTTATTGGGCATCTCCTTGAGGCAATGCTGTGAAGACCCCACTCAGAGTTGTCCTGGTGTCCACATGGGCTGACATCATGAATGTCCCTTGACCAGCTGAGCTGGGTTTAATAAAAACACACTGTTGCTGAAAGAGATCAGGAATGGGTGAGTGGCAGCCGCTGTGTCCCCAAGGGACAACCTTCTCCCCCTTGGAATAGAATCAGGGTGTGAAAACTACAAAACAAGTAACATGACCCAGACACAAGCGTTAAAGACCTTTCTCTTGGTTAACTTTTTGTTCTATTTTTCACTTTTATTTAATCCATGCAATAGCAGCGAAATTGATTCAAAGAGTACATGATGAAAAGTAACAGCCCTCAACTTTTTCTCCACTCCTAGCACTACTGCCAAAGGTGAGCTATTTTTGTTTAGTTGTTTTTTTTTTTTTTTAGTTGGAGTCTCACTCCATTGCCCAGGCAGGAATGCAGTGTCACACTCATGGCCACCCCATCGACCTGCTGGATGCTGACGATCCTTCCGCCTGTCTTCCAAGTAGCCGGAACTACAGGCTCATGCTACTATGCCCGACTAATTTTTATTTGTTTATTGTAGAGACGAGGTCTCATCACGTTGCCCAGGCTGGTCCTGAACCTGTGGGCTCAGGCAATTCACCCGCCTTGGCCTCCCAAAGTGCTGGGATTACAGGCTGAGCCACTGAACTCGGCTTATTTTAGTTGTTTTACCTTTCAATACTTTCATATTATAATAATAACACTAGTCAGTGTTTCTTAAACTCACTAGTGGGAAATAGAATTTATTAGAGGGCCAGGCTCAGTGGTTCAGCCTGTAATCCCGTGCCTTGGGAGGCTGAGGCGAGAGGATTGCCTGAGCCCAGGGGTTCGAGACCTGCCTGGGCAACTTGGCGAGACCTCATCTCTACGATAAATCAAAAATTTAGCTGGGCATGGTAGCGTGTGCCTGTAATTCCGGCTACACGGAAGGCTGAGGCGGAAGGATCACCGGAGCCCAGCAGGTCAAGGCTGCGGTGGCCGGGAGCGACCACTGCACTCCAGTCTGGGTGACAGAGTGAGACTTCAACTCAAAAAAAAAAATTATTAGAGGGGTCTTCTTTATAGTTTTATTGACGTAAAATAACTATTCATATGTATTGGGAATAACATGATGTTTCAAAATATGAGTATATTGCTTAATGATCACATTGGGGCAGTTGGCATACCATCATCTACAACATTGATCATTTCTTTACAGTGAAAAGATTCAATATCTTCTCTTCTAGCTACTTGCAAATAGGCAATCCATTATTGCTTTGTTTTGCTTTTTTTTTTGAGTTGGAGTCTCACTCTGTTGCCCAGGCTGGAATGCAGTGGCATGCTCACGGCTACTTCAGCCTCAACCTGCTGGGTTCAGGTGATCCTTCCACCTCAGCCTTCCAAGTAGCTGGAGCTACAGGTGTACGCTACCACACCTGGCTAATTCTTTGATTTATCGTAGAGATGAGATCTCCCAAGTTGCCCAGGCTGGTCTCGAACCCCTGGGCTCAGGCAATCCTCTCACCTTGGCCTCCCAAAGGAATTATAAGCATGAGCCACCATGCTGGGCCTCATTATTGCTAACTATAGTCACTGTGCTGTACAACAAGACACCAGAACTTATTCTTCCTATCTAATATCTTTGTACTCATTGACCAACCTCTCTCCATTCCTTCCTCTCCCCTCCCTCTTAAGTCTCTGGCAACTGTTTTATTCTCTATTTCTATCAGATCAACTTTTTCAATTCCAAATATGAGTGAGATCATGCAGCACTTGTCTTTCTGTGTCTGGCTTATTTTACTTAACAGAATGTCTTTCAAGTTCATCCATGTTGTTGCAGATGGTAGGATTTCATTTTTAATGGTCAAAATAGGTATATTCAACCTTTTTAAATCCATTTATGCATTGATGGGCACTTTGGTTAAATCCATTTTTTGGTTATTATGAATAGTGCTGCAAAAAGATGGGCGTGCAGACATCTCTTTGGCATTTTGAGTTTGTTTTATTTGGATATGTACTCAGTTAAGCGATCTGTTTTCTATAATGGCTGTACTAAATCATATACTGTTTTCTATAATGGCTGTACTATATCATATTACCACTAACAGTGTGTAAGGAATTCCTTTTTTCCACATCCTGGCCAATAGTTGTTATTTTTTGTCGTTTTGAAAATAGTCATTCCAGGCCGGGCTCGGTGGCTCAGCCTGTAATCCCAGCACTTTGGAAGGCCGAGGCGAGTGGATTGCCTGAGCCCGCAGGTTCGAGACCTGCCTGGACAACTTAGTGAGACCTCGTCTATACAATAAATCCAAAACTAGCTGGGCATGGTAGCACGTGCCTGTAGTTCCAGCTACCTGGAAGGCTGAGGCGGAAGGATTGCCGGAGCCCAGCAGGTAGAGGCTGCGGTGGCTGGGAGCGTGCCACTGCACTCCAGTCTGGGCGACTGAGTGAAACTCAAACTTAAAAAAAAAAAAAAAAAAAAAGCTGAGCTCGGTGGCTCAGCCTGTAATCCCAGCACTTTGGGAGGCTGTTCGAGACCTGCCTGGGCAACTTGGTGAGACCTCATCTCTACAATAAATCAAAAAATTAGCTGGGCGTGGTAGCTCGCGCCTGTAGTCCCGGCTACTTGGAAGGCTGAGGTGGAAGGATCACCGGAGCCCAGTAGGTCGAGGCTGCGGTGGCCGGGAGCGGCCACTGCACTCCAGTCTGGGTAACAGAGTGAGACTCCAACTCAAAAAAAAACAAAGAAAATAGCCATTCCTTCTAGAGTAAGGAATTTATTTCCTTATTTTTCTCTTATTGTGTAATATTTTCCTTTGTGGTTAATCAAAGACTTACATAAAAAATTGTATAAAGCCGGGCTTCGTGGCTCAGCCTGTAATCCCACGCCTTTGGGAGGCTGAGGTGAGTGGATTGCCTGAGCCCGAGAGTTCGAGACCCGCCTGGGCAGTGAGACCTCATCTCTACAATAAATAAAAAAATCAGCCGGGAGTGGTAGTGCATGCCTGTAATTCTACTTGGAAGGCTAAGGCGGAAGGATCACCAGAGCCCAGCAGGTCGAGGCTGCGATGGCCGGGAGTGGCCACCGCACCCCAGTCTGGGCGACAGAGTAAGACTCCAACTAAAAAAAAAAAAAAAAAAAAATTGTATAGTTATAATAGACTATTTTAAACTGATAAAAAGCTTTGGTCACTTGCAAATATGCTAACATTCCTCCCAAGGACTCTGACAACACACAAAATTTTTAATTTTATTTCTTTAATTTAGATTGTTTTATATCAAATATCCCTTAAAATCTCTTGTAGATATAACTATTGTTGACTATTTTGATGTTTAAG